TCTTTGCTCTGGCAAAAAGTCCTCTAATTCCTCTTTCAAACTTGGCTAAATAGTGAACAATCCATTTGTCTCGGTCGGAAATACCCAAAATTCCCCTGTGTCCCAAATCATAAAAAAACTCAAAATCAGTGTACTGACCAATACGGGCCGTGTCACCTGACACGAGCACCCGTGTTGGCCTCTGTCCATTGCTCCAACAAAACCTCTCGCCCAGATCTTCTGACACGGGCTGTGTGAGCCTCTGCCTTCTTCTCCTAAACTGCAGTCGTGCATTCTCTCCTGACACGGCTCGTGTCAGATAACATGGGTGGCCGTGTTAGGCACCCTGTAGCTTTGTTTTTGAGACTTCCTCCGAAATTCCGAATTTGTAGTTTTCACACTGGTTTTCTTGGTTTTATTCCTCTGAGCCTGAAAACAAGAAAATATACAACCAACGCATAAAACATAGAAGAATGAAATAAAACAATTGACAAAATAAAGAAACTATAACTAAAATCAACTGTAAATTAAGGTGGAAAAATCACTAATCACCTTATCTGACAGGTTTGTCGCATGCAAACTTGTGTTTTTGTTCCAGGCTTAGCGCTTGCTAATCCTTCGTGATTCCAACTGCGATAGATTAAATCTCCTATAGGCCACGTTTTCTAGTGTTGGAGCTAGAACAAATAGTTCCTTGGTTCTAAAATCCTAGACCCTTGGGCCATAAGAATCCTATATATCCCCTTCATTAAAGGGATGAGGAAACAATCTTTCTTTTGTAAAGTCATACCCAGAACTTCTCACTTCACGTGAGCTATTCCTAAACAGAACGAAACAATCCTATAAACATAAGACTATCTTTATTGTATTCTTTTAACAAGTACAAAGTATTATAGTATAGATTTTATTAGACATTATATGATTTTTTTATCCAATTTAAATGTTAAAAATATGGACCGTTGTATTGAATGATATTACAATTTTTTTAAAATTGAAAAAATATACTTTTTTTTTTAAATGAACCCTATACAATCCATAAATTATCGAATTGATTCAGTTTGATTTTGTAAAAAAAAATTGGATTGAACACTGAACTCAACCTATTAAAACTTAAACGAGTTGGATAATATGTTAAGATAAAATTCGAACCAACTCAATTCATGTATACCTCTAATTTTAACTTCAACTTCTATCAGGAAAACATTTGAAAGGAATATTTTTAGATAAATTAAAACTAAAATGAAAACAGATATATTCATATTCAAATCTAAAATTAAGCAAGTGAAAATATATAACATATCAAACGTAGAGTGGTTCAAATGATAAGAATTTTAGACCCTTTAAATAAATCATCACAAATTCGATTTTCAACTTTTATGATAGAGAAAATCCAATGGAAAGAAAAACAAAAGCTACCCAACATATGGAAGAAACCAGAAATAAAGATCGAACAACATAATAATAAAAAATAATAACCTACAAATTAAATCGTACTTTGGTTCCAATTTTTTATCAAGACTTTATTCCTTTATAGGGGAAAAGTATGAAGCTGTCTGTTCTGAAAACCTTGTCCCTTGGAGTGTGATTGCATCCATCATGTTTTGTCGTTGTAAAAATTGAGCCTCTCACACTACTATACTCACTCTTGGGAAATACATAAAATTCTCATCTTAGACTAAGACCAGTGTCACCTGATCGAATATTTTTTTATTTTTATGAAAACAATGCAATTTATATTTATGCGTGTTTAAATAGACATAGGAGTAGTATACAATAATGCATCATAGAACCAGTATCAAATTTGGTTTAACTTTTAAAAACGAATCTAGCTATAATTATCCATGATTCAAAAGCTGTTTTTAAAAGGTAATGCTAACACATGTCATAAGAGTAAATGTTAAAAATATTATATTTAGAAAATTTTAAATATATTTAATTATAACAAAATCATATTTAAAGTTTTAATATATTGAATACACATGTTTCAAAAGAATATTTCTATAAATAATTTATTAAATTATGCATTTGGGATAGATGTTTTTTTTTTTTTTGTATTTTTGCTTTTTCATCTTTCTACACTGAAACATTGTATATTTGTATAGTACTATTATAGTATTATAGTATGAGTATTCTACTCTTTTTCCAATATATGTAATGCGTACAAGTAACAAAGTTTATAGGAGAAGAGAAAACTCACGGGTAACATTATTGTTATCTATATTCTATAGTATATAGTGTAGCTAAAAATGAGAAAGAAAAAAAGAATAATATTAAAGTACTAATTGGTTTGATTCATGATATAGATATATATGCTAGTTATAGGGTTTGTTTTTATTATTATTTAAAAGTAGGAAAGGACTTTATGTTGTTGAAGAAGAAAACATTCCCATCCTATTCCATAAGTCTAACTTATATACTCAATCACTACCATTGACTAATATTGAAGCCTAAAAAGGATGAAAAAGTTTAAAGTTTATGGGCCATATTTTGTGACAAGTAGGTATAGTTATAGGTTATATAGGTTGATATTGGAATTGTTAGCAAAAGATTAAGTGATTTTATGGGCAGAGAGAGAGAGAGAGAAGTACTTATGTTTATCTCACTACTACATGTGTTATATGTTTTGTATTGCATGCATAAAATCTGATAATAATAAATAAGAGACATACAAATAGTAGGATTCAGAATTTGCAGGTAGTAGGCCCTCCACCCAACAAAAAGCTAGAAATAATTAATCAATTATAGCTTTCAAATTCTATGCACTATAGCTCGAGAATTGAGTCATTCCATTGTAATAACCAAAGGGTTATACCTAAGAGGCAAACAAAGAAAGATAGAGAGAAAGAGGGTGAGAGAGGACATTGACAGTTTTGTTTATTACTTAACTACCCTCCTATATATGGCCATCTTCAATTTAATTCAATAAATGACTCTGGACCATCCATACAAGATTCCAAATCAGGTAACAGTCATTTTTTCTATATTTTCTTCTATCTCCCCCACCTCTAATTAATTAAACTTTATAAATTTTCAAGTTTCACATGCAACATTTCAAGACTACTCAATAAATATTGATTAAAGAAATTTTATGCATTTTTAAATTTTAGACAAAATTTTCAATTTTTTTTAAAGTGAATTTTTCCTACCCTTCACCTATGAAAGGTCTACATACATTCCATGATGAAAGGAAGGACCAGTTCTTAATGAGTGTAAGATGAGGGAATTCAAAATTTTGTAATAGTTAAAAGTAATCAAATAAAATTTATATTTTTAAAAACCTCTATATGTTTTGTTATGATTGAATCATGACTATACTCAAGATTCCCAAGAATTTAAAACAACATTGATGAAAGTTAGATTCTTTTTTAGTTTGAACATTAAAATTTCTTTAAACCCTCATTTATATAAATGTTATAGCTATTGAAAATATAACATCTCATATAGTAACGACTTCTTTAACATTGACATCTATAAATAACGATATACTATTTAATGTTTGACACATATCAATATGTCAGTGTCGTATTAGATGTTTCTCTTAGACCATTATAAATAACAATTTTATTTTTGATCAATTTCAACCATAGCAATCTTCTTCAGATTTACTCCATATAAAAATATCATCTAGCACCCCTAAAACAATACTTCATATACTTCAAGTATAAAATTCCACATTAGATAAAAAATGATGGATAAACACTTTAAAAGTAAGAGGACCTATATATATGTAATGTCATCAAGTTTTAGTTAAATATGAAACATTTATTATTTGTATGGTTGCTCTAGATTCAACGTGGATGCCCTCTTATAACGCACCAATGGTAACAGAGCTGATACATTGAGTAAGAGATCAGCTCTTGTATCAAAAGTGACGTTAACAAACTAGTAGTTTGGCGACATGTCTCGTTGAAGTGTCCAAGTAACGTCTCTTTCATTTGTGTATTACTACTTTTGAGCCAATATGAATGTTGATTCTCATAACTCATCACAAAGATCTATTTAGTGTCAGACATGTGTCAATATCGATATTAGTGTTGTATCAAGTGTCTACGTTAACTTCTCAGCCATATCTGATTATCATCTTCAATCATAGTAATTGTCAATCTACTCCGAATTAAAAAAAAAAACCATCTAGCTCGTCACCCCCCTAAAAAACACACCAGCTAGTTTCATGTATTTTACAAAGAAAGAAGACAGGACTAAATACAAATATATAGATAGTACTCTCTTCATTTTAAAATGAATGTTGTTTTAGAAGGAAAAAAATTATTTCATAATAAATGTCATTCTTAGTTTTCAATATAATAATGATAACTATTTTTTCAATTGAATCATATAATTATTATTCTGTACACTACTTCTAATAAATTAATAAGACTAATTTAATAAAAATATAATACTTTATGAAAATATAATTAGATTATTTAATTTGTATGTAAAAATTTTAAAGTACAGTCATTTTAAAATGGAATGAGTATAAAGAGAAGTATAGGTAAAAAAGTTAGAAGTAGCATATCCGTACATGAGTAAATAAAAAAAGAAGTGTGCATGGAGGCAAACAATAAAATAAAGAATGAAAAAGATGAATGAGTGAGGTGAGAGAGAGGGGCAGGCAGTTCGGATTTAGAATTAGTGTGAAAGGAACGAGACGTGAAGAGAACAATAAATGAGGTGATGATAACCCTCATCATCGTCACGTCGTTTTTCATTCTCTTCTCCCAATAACAATCTCCCAGAATTCCACGCTCTCTCTCTCTCTCTCCTCTCTCCCTAAAGCCTAGTCAACTTCATCTCTTCTTTGTCCCATATTAATCCAACAATAACAAAAAAACTCTCTCTCTCTCTCTCTCTTCAACAATGCTTCATCATCCACCTATATACAAATTACCATAACAACACTCACTTCCAAATACACTTCTACATCTATCAACCATTCCTACTTTTTCTACTTTCTTTTCATTCTTCTCTATTTATATAACCTTTTCTATTATATAATTCATTCTTACATAAACCCTAGCATTATGTGGATGGTTGGTTACAATGAAGGTAATGACTTCAACATGCCTGATTATCCTTTCAATGGAAGAAAACTCAGACCTCTCATTCCAAAACCACTCACTACTACTAACTCTTCTTCTTCTTCTCCTAACAACAACGTTTCAACCAATAATACTCGCATTCATGCCACCAATGATTTCTTCTCACAATATCACAACCTTCACCAAGGTATAATATTATATATCTATATATTTTTTCTTTGCATTTTTTTTTATGCATGTGATATATTAAAAATGTGATGTTTTGTTCTGAACCACAGTTGGAGATCAAAGCAAGAGATCGGAGTTGAACAATCCGGCTGCGGTTGTGGTGAGTTCGAGATGGAATCCAACACCGGAACAGCTAAGAGCACTTGAAGAATTATATAGAAGAGGAACACGAACACCGTCGGCCGAACAAATCCAACAAATCACTGCACAGCTAAGAAGATTTGGAAAAATTGAAGGAAAGAATGTCTTCTATTGGTTTCAGAATCACAAAGCAAGAGAAAGACAGAAGCGACGCCGTCAAATGGAATCAGCTGCTGAGTTTGATGCTTCTCTTGAAAAGAAAGACCTAGGTAAACAAACAAAAATAAACTAATTGTTTAATTTTTTTTTTTTTTTTGGATTAGTCCATTATTTTAGTCACCATGTGTTTGATAAAATCACTGTGACAATGTTTTTGTTGTTATAATAGGTTTATTTTGTAAATGTAATATGAGTTTTGTTTTGGTTTGGTTTTGGTAGAGGAATAAATATCCTTGTTATTGTGTATATGACATGCGTTGCTTTATCTTTTTCTTATTCATTCGTATTGTTGTTGGTTGAGATGTAAAGTTATATTCTTTTTTGTTTTTCTTTTTGTCTACAGGCGCAAGTAGGACAGTGTTTGAAGTTGAACACACCAAAAACTGGCTACCATCCACAAACTCCAGTACCAGTACTCTTCCTCTTGCAGAGGTCTTTTTTACTTACATTATTTCACTTCTTAATCCACTTTTATAAAGATCTTTATGCACTGATTATTGGTAATTAGTAATAATGAAAGATGGATATGCCCAAGAATCACAAAGTATAGGTATAGGTGAAAGAAAGAAAAGTTTTGTTGTAAGTAAATTTGTTGGGAAATGAAAAGGTCCTAAAAGCTGCATTACTTCCTTTCTGTCGGGGCTGCTGTTATGAAACTTAGCTGGGCTTTTGGGGCTTGTGCAGTAGTAAGTAGCTTTTAGGCACTCTCCATTATATTCTTCTTTCTATGGAATTGAATAAATCCATCCATATTCATGATGCAAAAGACAACACTCACCTTCAACACTGCTTTTATTTGACTTCACATAGACCAACATACACCTTTAAAAAAAATATGCACATACACTATACTATAACTTTGATAACTTTGAGTGCATGCAGCATGCTTATTTGAAATCTGTGCATGCTCTTTTTTTTTTTTTTTAACCTATGGTTTTTTTAAAATATTTTTTCACCTATGGTTCTAAGTTTTTAACTTTTAATTACATTCTTCAGGAATCTGTTTCAATTCAAAGGGTAGCAGCAAAAGCAGATCAGTACTCTAGAGCAGATGGATGGGTCCAATTCGATGAAGCAGAAAGAAAAAACTTTATGGAAAGGAATGCCACGTGGCATATGATGCAGTTAACTTGTCCTACCTTCATAAACACTACACAATACCCTAATAATTCTAATTACATCTCTTCTACAGCCACAGCTAGCATGGCCACCACCACTTCAACCACAGTAACAACTAGACTAATGGACCCAAAACTCATCAACAGGACACATGATTTAAGCTTATTCATTTCACCTTTCCACTTAACCACTAGTAGTAGTAGTAGTAGAGTCAACAATAGTACTCACACTCAGCATGAAGAATCTGATCAAACACTTCAACTTTTCCCAATAAGGAATGAAGGAGATAATGGATGTAGTGATGATGTTGATCATAGCGTTATTAACCAACACAAAGAGACAGAGATATCATCTTCAGCAATGAATGCACCAAACCAGTTTATCGAGTTTCTACCATTGAAGAACTGATTAGAATATATTATATGATATAAAATAAACAAGAGTTTGGTATGCATGTCAAATGACAGGTTTGTATGTTAGGTGTTGGATTTTGTTGGAAAATAACACTAGTTTTTATTGTTATTGATGTTATGTATCAAGAAAATTGGTGGTGTAATAGACACTGAGTATTAATGAGGTATTATATTTTCCTTAAAATGCATTTGGACTATGTTGGTTAGTGTTTATTATAGGGCTTATTGAAGTAAGTTGATTATTATGTATACACATGTTAGTTCTGATATATGAAGAATTGGAAAGGAAGAATTAAATGAAGAATGTATAAGGAATTTGATGTGAGGGTTTGATTTTGATACATGGTATCTGAAATAGGAATAAGATGTGACAGAAATTGATGTTGAAGTAACTTGAACATGGGTGAGAGAATTGATTTGTTCTTTTGCTGAATAATTGGAAAGAAAAAAAAATAAAATGGTGTTGAGTAATGGTGTGTATTGTATTGCAATCAATGTTGTGGTGAAGTAAAAACTCTGTAGTCCAATTTATGACATTAAAGAAATCACATCAATGCACCAAAAGGGAACAGAACGGGTGAATAAAAAGTAAATCTATGAATTGATTGATATATGCTATGTATTGTTATTAGTGTTTTTTTTATTTTTTTGAAATAAATTAGATATTATTATTATCTTGATATATAAAAATCTTTTTGAATTTTGATTAATATGAAGTTATAAGAAACTAAAACAGATGAAATACATGTGATGATAAGAATATTATCACCTATAATTATTATAGTTAAACTTAACTGAGATCATTAGGTTCTTGGAAAAGTTACATTCTTATAGTATAGAATTTGTTACATGGAATGATCCAATCCTTAAGACTAGGACGTGTCACACAAAGAGGCATCAATCATCATCAGGGTAAATATTACACAGCCAAAATATTCCTCATTCAAACCGTGAGTGGGGGACCATAATTCACAACTCACTATATTATATTCTCATTAACTTCATAACTAAGTAAATAAAAACCCTACTAGGTCACACACATTAGCTACAACTCTAGATATATATAGCCCTAGAATTTGGCAGTACATATGATATGAGTCAAAAATTTACAACCAATTAATGATCTTTGTAGCTAACATTGAAATACTGATACGTAATCAGAATTCTGAAACACCGAAAGCATGTTAGCAGATGAGTTGTTTGTTTTATTCATTGAACTCTTTAAGGTAAAAATCAAGTTTTAAGTGGAGGAAGATTTTTTCATGCCAGATTTGTTTTGTTTTATTTTATTGATATTAACCAATCACAACATATTAGTCATGGCTTATGCAGAGTTATGGAGAGAGAGAGAGAGAGAGAGGGGTTATAGCACAACATATGCAGCATAGTCAGAACTCAGAATGAAATATCTGTCGACATATAAACATATCAATGATCACGGGTTGAGTTTTTGGGTGCAATTTGACTTGCCTATAATAAATAATAATATATGTAAACGAATATAGGTCACTTTGCATCTGATTTATCTGTGTTATACTTCTCTTCCTATTTGGTAGTACTCTATTAGTCCCTACAACATCTATGAAATTAAACTAGTAAACAAAGCATTTAGAGATCCATAGCTTTAAACTGAATTAATATATTATAGAGAATATTTCCTTATGTTGTTTTGTAAATTTATTACTACTATTACTTGATATGCATTAAGTTTAGCTATCTATGATAGACAAAATATAAAAATTAAAAAAACTAAATTTAAAATAATTTTTATTATTTTTAAGAAGTTCGCAAAAATAATTTAAAAGGAACTTCTTTAATCACTCTTATGAGTGAATAAAAATGAGAATAGGTCAGACCAACTAACAGAGGCCTACAACTTAATCTATATAGACCAAAGCCAGATTAGACATTTTAAGTTAAATAGACTAAATCACAAATTATAAAAAAAATTATCGATCAATTTTAACAAATATGAATAAATTTATATTTTTTTATTGTATTTTGTACATTATATTAAAATACAAAAGTAAAATTTAGTTATTTTGAAAAACTTGTGAAAATAAATTGAAAAAACTTTATGAATAATGTCATAAGTTATTTTTATAATGTCTTCTAAATAAATAATCTCACAAAACATATGCTAGTATGTAAGATCAAATAAGTCAATATAAACAAATATTTGGTCTCATTAAACTTTTGATTCTCTAATAATTGCTTATTTACATATACAAATGATATATGCTTTGTAAGCATACTAATTGACTAATCATGCCTTCGTAAATGTCAAGTTTAGGCCGGAAAATAAACCTATGATAAGGCACAGGTCAGACTTAGGCTTTGAATTTTTTAGCAGGTCAAGTTCAAACTTGACAAAGCCTAGCTCGGCCAGTCTATTTCCACCCCTATGGGGGTGAAAAACACCATTGAAAAATCCTAAAATACCTTTCAGATATGCATATCTAAACACCAATTTTTTCAAAAAGTTTTTGGATATGTATATCCGAAATAACCTGATATTTCGTTTTTAAGTTGTTTTCAATTATGCATATCCGAAATAATCTAATATCTCAACTTTACTCAATATTTATTTTTAATAAATAAATAAAAAATATTTATTTATAATATAATTAAAGTGAGTTATTATTAATAAAAAATAACTTCAATTTATAATTGAAAATTAAATATTAAAATAAATTTATGAGAGAAATTAAACTAATTAAACTTTTTTTTATTATAGAATTCATAATTAATTATTAAGTTGTAATTAGAAAAAATTATATTAAAAAAATTTATGTTATAATCAAAAGTTGAATATAATAATGAATAATATTAAAATAGGATATTAAATATTAAATGAATAGATAACACGTTAATTTCTTGTAAAAAATGATGAATAATTAATAAAGTATAGGGATTATCTATATTAAATACATATATATGGCATAAGAAAAAATTAGATTATTTCGGATATGAATATCCAAAAATCACTAGACTATGTTTAGATATCATGAAATGAACGGAACAGAATGAAGCGCAGTGGAGTGAGATGGAGCAGAATGGAGCGCAATGGAACGAAGATATCATTCTATTGTTTGGAAATTTTAGGACGAAACAAGATAAGTTGTTCATTCCGTCCAAATCAGAGGAGAAAGAAAATTGTGGTAAGTGATGGAATGGAATGGAATTTATACCATTCCATTATGTTGTGTTCTATCTATTTTTAAATTATCTAAACAATAAATTATCATTTTATTTCATCTCATTCTGTTATGCTTCATTCGATTCTATCAATCTAAACAAAGCCCTAAAGATGAAATATTGAATTATTTTAGATATGTATATATGAAAATCTCCTAAAAAATTTAAATATAATAAATTCGAATATACATATCCGAATTCTTAAAATATTAAAAAGAAAATTTCAAAAACCTCTAAAAAAAATAAGGGTGTGGCTAAAGAAATTTCCTTTAAAAATATAAAAAGATTTTAAATGTAACAAATTGCCCCCTATATTAAATTGGACAGTAGGTTTGGTCTAGTAAAATATAGAGAGTAAAAAATATTGTCTAAATTATAATTTTAATCTTCATATTATATTCTCTTCACGAAATTAATTTTTCTATTTATTCTTTTCAGTTTGATCTCTCATTCTCAAGTTTACTTTAAAAATACATATATGTATTTTTTTAATACGTAATATTTTTTATGATATAGCATAGAAAACTTTTTTTTGCCCGATTATTTTTTAATTTAAATGTAGTTTTGATTCTTGTATATTCATTTTAATAATTTTTTAATTTCCGTAAAAAAAATCAGTTTTATGGTTATTTAATATCAAATTTTATGGTTTTTTTAAGATCTCTCGTGATAACACAGTCTCATTTACATATATGGTATTAAAATATATGAAGTGATATATTTTTAGGTTTGCTACATCATTAAAATTTTAAAAAAAAAATCAATTTTATAATTCCATATCATACTTCATTTTTTTTGGAGGTCCTTCATGACAACACAGACTCATTTACACATGTGACATTAAAATATATGAGGTGACATATTTTTATAATTACCGCATCATTAAAAATTTTAAAATTTATTATTTTATTTTCTTATAATTTTTTTAATAATTAAATGTCTTTAATTATTTTAATTTCTTCATATTTAGTTAGAATTTAAATATTAAATATTTTTAAATTTTTAAATGGGCCACTTGGCAAGAGTCTTTCACTTGCAGTTGTCTATTAGGGTGTACGTGCAAACATCATAATATATGTAGCTTTCATTTTTGCTTGTATCTTTAAGTCCCACATTAAAAGTAAAACATTTAGTGTTTATATAAGACTTTTGCATTTGAGTTATTGGAATATTAGAGATTGGGCTGCTCTTGTAAAGAAGGTTGTGCATTAGGTCCATTTTAAAATTTTAAAATTTTTAATATTTAAATTTTAATTAAACATGAATAAATTAAAATAATTAAAAATATTTAATTATTAAAAAGAAAATTGTAAGAAAATAAATTTTTTTTTTTAATTTTTAATGACGTGACAACAGTGAAAATATACCACCTCATATATTTTAATGTCACATGTGTAAATGAGACTGTGTTGTCATGACAGACCACCAAAAAAACAAGAAATCTGATATTAGGGGACTATAAAGCTGGTTTCTTTTAAACGGTGACTAAAAGATTATCAAAATGGATATATATGGACCAAAACTGTATTTAAATCTTATTTTTTTAATTTGTTAATTTATTAACTAAAGTACAATTTATTAAAATAAATATGTTAAACTTATTAATAAAATAAATTGTTAAAGTAAAAACATATTTCAAACACAGAGAAGAAAGAGGAAGGAAGTCGAACAATGAAACACGAAGAAGAATAAACGAAGAATGGCGACACAATGAGAAGCAATGAAGACTCAGTGGCAAACGAAGCAAGAACATGATTTCGAAACCCTTAATCTATTCTAGGTAATAGCACGAATTTC